GTTGAGTGAGAGTAAGAGTATCTACTTCCTCTATGTCCCCTCCCTCTCACCCTCTTCACTCTGTGACTCTCTCTCTCTCCCTCTCACTCTTCCCTCTCTTTCCCCTCTCACTCCTCCCGTAGCCACGACGGAAGGGGACAGGGGCTCTGAGGGGAGGAGACTAAGTGGACCAACTCTTATTTTTCGTGGACAAGTTCCTGCAGGCGGTAGGTCTCCCCTCTGTCTGAACCTCACTCGGGTCCTAGTCCGAGGCTGACCTTATCCAGCCCTATTGTCTAGTCTATGACTTGGTCTGACCTTATCCTCGACCTTTTGCGTTATTGCTGCCTGTCGCAGTGCCATGTCTTCTCCAGTGTGTGGTATGGACTTTCTCATCTCTAACTTGGGACCAGCAGACTTTGTGTATAGCTTTTTGTAATGCAAGGTTTATTCTTGTGTCTGATTCCTATCTGGAGACAACCCGCTTTTTGATAACAAACTCTCTCTCTCTCTCTCTCTCTCTCTCTCTCTCTCTCTCTCTCTCTCTCTCTCTCTCTCTCTCTCTCTCTCTCTCTCTTTCCTGCTGGGAGCACTTCCTGAAAGATTAGATTTTACTAGTGATCTTCGTCTCTTGTATAATTCAGGTTTATTTCACGTTCATAATGTATATATTCACATCATTAATTCTGTGGTAATATTGAGCCCGGTTGAGCCCATCGTTGGTGGCCGGTGTTCAGGTCCCAGTTGATGTTGTCAGTGTTGAGCATGTTGCAGAGCCCCTGGAGGATAATGCCAACTTCTTCCCAACTTCCTCCAGTTCTAATTTAGATGCTAAAGTGTTTCAGGTAATTAGCTTGGTGAAGTACTTGCCTACCACTACTTACCTTAACACTTCTGATGCCTCTACAGGAGTGAGGAGTGATTCTTGGAGCCTGAGAACTGGTGGCACTTGGTTCTTTCATCTCTCTTAACAAATGTATGTGAATGCATGTGTGTGTATATATGTATGTATGTGACTGCATGTGTGTGTATATATGTATGTATGTATGTGAGTATGTATGGGTGTAAAGTATATATGGAAGCTGATCAGAATTACATTTCACCTTTGTAAATGCACATTAATGACACGATGTAAAAGACACATCAAACACTTTATGTAGGGCATACGTAAATCTGTGTATCTATGTATTTACGTATGTAGGTTAGCTTAGCATTTTAAAAGCACTACAATAACCTTCTGTGGTTGATTGTTCAATAAACCCTTGAACTATATGTTTAACACATGTCTAACCCTGTCCATGGAGGACAGAAGAAAATGTATATATGCTGGTTAGCATTGTAAATGCCTGGCCACGTCTGTGGTAGAAAATAATAATGAAAATAAATCTCTCTTAACTTTTTTGTTATTTCTTGTACTCACTATTGCAACTATTCAAGTTGGAGGCATCCACTGCACCTGCTCCCATAGCATTGCACTTAGCTGCCACCCACACTACATAGGAACAGCCTTCACACGGGAGGCACTTTAATTGCAACACTTAATAATGTCGTCAAAATGAGGTGCTATGTTGGAATTTAAGTTGTTCTAGTACTCGAACTTATAAGCATCTCCCATGATAGATTATGTATTTACCTAGTTGTGTTTGCGGGGGTTGAGCTTTGCTCTTTCGGCCCGCCTCTCAACTGTCAATCAACTGTTTACTAACTACTTTTTTCTTTTTTTTCCACACCACACACACACACACACACACCCCAGGAAGCAGCCCGTGACAGCTGACTAACTCCCAGGTACCTATTTACTGCTGGACAAACATGTATGTTTGTCCAGTTGTCGTACGACTTTCATTATGACACACCGGCTCAAGCTACATGCATACTTTGAGGGTTACCTTGAGGTGCTTCCGGAGCTTAGAGTCCCCGCGGCCCGGTCCTCGACCAGGCCTGCTTATGGTAAGAATTAGTAGGCGAATGTTGGCTTAGTTTCGGCTCTCTGACTCATTCGTGTTGTTAATGACTGAACGAGGGACAGTGTGGAAGAGGGACGAGAGAGAGAGTAGTTAGTGGTGTTAAGAGAGACTCTTATCTACCATACTGTGATCGCCATACTGAGAGCTGTTCCATCAAACTATTATACCCCCTGTTGTGTGATTTATCTGTATTCTTTGCTATAAAGTTGCTATTTGTGACTATTTGGGTCCATGTTTCCCCCTTTGTCAGGGTATTTAAAGGGTTTCCCCTTTGTTCCCCTTTGTTCCCCTTTTTCACCTGTATGTTATACACGACCATGAATATACAACGGGTGGGACGCGAACAAGGGGACACAGGTGGAGACTGAGTACCCACATGAGCCACAGGGACGTTAGAAACAACTTTTTCAGTGTCAGAGTAGTTAACAGGTGGAATGCATTAGGCAGTGATGTGGTGGAGGCTGACTCCTTGAGGTTACCTTGAGGTGCTTCCGGGGCTTAGTGTCCCCGCGGCCCGGTCGTCGACCAGGCCTCCTGGTTGCTGGACTGATCAACAACCAGGAGGCCTGGTCGACGACCGGGCCACGGGGACACTAAGCCCCGGAAGCACCTCCATACACAGTTTCAAATGTAGATATGATAGAGCACAATATGCTCAGGAACATGTACACCAGTTGATTGACAGTTGAGAGGCGGGACCAAAGAGCCAGAACTTAACCCCCCGCCAGCACAACTAGGTGAGTACAACCTTTACCAGCATATGAAGGGAAGATAGACGAGGAAGAGCAGCTTCAGCACCTGTACAGGTGTGAGTATTGGACATGTGTGTGAACAGCTGTAAATATCAAGGCTGCCCACTGGCTCTTCCTTCTATGACACCACATGTAACTTCTCTTGAATTATTATATATACCTTTTTTGTGCAAGAGTTGCCATAGTAACGTATTATTTCTGTGGGCAAATTGGTTGACCAGACCACACACTAGAAGGTGAAGGGACGACGACGTTTCGGTCCGTCCTGGACCATTCTCAAGTCGACTGTGAAACAAAAGTAGTATGATCTCCGAAATTATCGTACGTGGAGGGGGGGGGGAAAGAACTGAAGGCGTTTGGCTTTTTTTTATTGCATAATTTTTTTAAATTTTGCCCCGAGCGCCACTCATCTTGTGAGTGGACACACCACCATAGTGACAGTATTGGGCAGCACCACTCATCCTGTGAGTGGACACACCGCCATAGTGACAGTATTGGGCAGCGCCACTCATCTTGTGAGTGGACACACTGCCATAGTGACAGTATTGGGCAGCGTCACTCATCCTGTGAGTGAACACACCGCCATAGTGACAGTATTGGGCAGCGCCACTCATCCTGTGAGTGGACACACCGCCATAGTGACAGTATTGGGCAGCGCCACTCATCCTGTGAGTGGACACACCGCCATAGTGACAGTATTGGGCAGCGCCACTCATCCTGTGAGTGGACACACCGCCATAGTGACAGTATTGGGCAGCGCCACTCATCCTGTGAGTGGACACACCGCCATAGTGACAGTATTGGGCAGCGCCACTCATCCTGTGAGTGGACACACCGCCATAGTGACAGTATTGGGCAGCGCCACTCATCCTGTGAGTGAACACACACCGCCATAGTGACAGTATTGGGCAGCGCCACTCATCCTGTGAGTGGACACACCGCCATAGTGACAGTATTGGGCAGCGCCACTCATCCTGTGAGTGGACACACCGCCATAGTGACAGTATTGGGCAGCGCCACTCATCCTGTGAGTGGACACACCGCCATAGTGACAGTATTGGGCAGCGTCACTCATCCTGTGAGTGGACACACCGCCATAGTGACAGTATTGGGCAGCGCCACTCATCCTGTGAGTGGACACACCGCCATAGCAGCATGTACAACACTCCCCAATAGGAAGAAAACCCGCTGGGTTGTTCTTTCTGTCACTTGTACCCAGACACAGCTGGGACTTGCTTAACTGTCTCAAGTGAACAGCTCCTCAAACAAGAAGATTAACATCTATCAACCCTTAAAAGCTTATGTTATCTTGCGGGTGCAAAATGGGGAAATCTTTTAAGAACAGTATCAATATTTGACAAATAGTGTTTTCCTAACTCAAACAATGTGGGGTTTATTATTCTACACAAACTTCTAATGTCTCTCAGGTGTTCACATTCACGTAGATAGTGGTCAAGGCGGTGTCCGTCACTCTCACCACAGATTCTGCAACTCCGCTGCTCAACTGTTGTTTCCATTCCGTATCTCCATGGATATTTGTATCCAAGACGGATTCTCGCTATTACTGATTCTCTCCCTCATCCTCCTCATAATGATTGGGATTGCCAGCTGCAACCATGTTGTACCATCGTATAGATTCACTGGTTTGTGCTTCTATCCTCCTTTCCTCAGTTACCTTGTCACGGTGATGTTGCCTGACAATACCTCTAATTTGTAGTAGAGTCTTGGGTATGAAGTATTCAATATGGTCTCCTTCAGCGCCTTCAGCAGCCAGCACATCTGCTCGTTCATCTCTTCTTTATTGCATACTTTTGCTCTTAAGAATATTGTTTACATTTAGATTTGGTACCCACAGGGTCGGCTATGATGCCCAGGTCTCTCCCACATGCCCTGTCTATCTGTCCCACATACACCCTTTGGGGGAGCCGGTCGGCCGAGCGGACAGCACGCTGGATTTGTGATCCTGTGGTCCTGGGTTCGATCCCAGGCGCCGGCGAGAAACAATGGGCAGAGTTTCTTTCACCCTATGCCCCTGTTACCTAGCAGTAAAATAGGTACCTGGGTGTTAGTCAGCTGTCACGGGCTGCTTCCTGGGGGTGGAGGCCTGGTCGAGGACCGGGCCGCGGGGACACTAAAGCCCCGAAATCATCTCAAGATAACCTCAAGATAACCCTGACCATCTCTCCCACTAACACAGATTACGTGTCGATACCCTCACAGATTATAACCAACTCGCTAGGTGAACAGTCGCATTAGGTGACCGTAACAGAAGACCCCCAACGACACACGTATACGATAACACATGCAGCAGTGTACGACAGTGGCAGAGGAGGGTGATCATGGCTTGGTGAGTGAGAGGCAGGATAACGGTCGCTATCCTGAGCTATCCTGGTGGCCAGGGAGGTGTGAGGTCCCAGGCAAGGGGGTCGCCAGTCTTCTATGGATCTCTCTACTGAAGTCACTCAACGCGGGGGTCCACACCCCTCAAGATAACACAGTAACTACGCCAGTGGTGCACAGGGGGATAACAGATATCTTGCGCGTGATGTGTAGCGTCCTTTCCTGTGAAATTGAAATTGAAATTGAAATAAGTTTATTGAGGTAAAATACACACAAAGGGATGAGGTAGCTCAAGCTATTCTCACCCCATTCAGTACAACGTGTTAATATATACATAGACACACATCACAAATAAACATATTACCAAACATTTTGAGAGGTAAAAATATACATTTCCTCCTTTACAAGTAGTATGGTATCAGACGTACACACAAATACTTTTAAGACCTAGGAATACTGTATAGACAATTTGCAAGACACCTGCAGATAATTCAACAAAATATTACAATCTTGGTGCAAAATTCTTATATCTCTCAAGAATATCATCAACCTTTCCGTTGTGACACATCCAGGCTATTTGCTCAGGAACAGTCCTTATCTCAGTGTTTCTATATACACTAATCAACGGACAATCAAGAACATAATGGGCAAGGGTGTGAGACCTTAACATACCACATAGTTTACACTTCGTGTCATTACCATGAACATCTATCCCATATTCCCAGTAATATTTGTACCCAAGCCTGAGCCGCATGTACACAGAGTCACTCCAAGCATTTCTCCTTTTACCATAAGTGAAATGGATGTTTTGACTCACATACATGTAGTGTTGCATGGTTTGACTACTCTCATACATTATCTCTCTCCTCTCCACTCCCGCCTGTGCCTGAATATTTCTGATTTTGCTTCTTATTTGTCTCATTGTGAATTCACATTCAATGTCAACTTGTGGTTTTGATGTGGCACGTTTGGCCAAGTCATCCGCCACCTCGTTGAGCACTATTCCAACATGAGATGGAATCCACATGAATTTCACACTATAACCTTTCAGCTGTATCTCAGTTATTCTTCTCCTACAGTCCTCCACTATAGACATGAAGACTGGGTTTCGACTGTTTAAGGACTCCAGTGCTCCTCGGCTATCGACAAATACAAAAACATTTTTGTCGTCATGACGTACTTCCTCCAAACACGCCAGAATGGCCTGCAGTTCAGCTTGTGTGGATGATATATAATTACTAAGCCGGAGTTCAATTATCCTGTCCACAGTCCCAAACTCCGTATAATCCCTTATTAGGACACCACACCCTGCCCTGCCATCCTCCGCCACCGACCCGTCGCAATATACATGTAAACTGTTGCCTCTTGGTAACCGAGATATCATGCTTCCATACAAACACCGTAATTGTCCCGGTTCATGATGAATCTTTTTCACCTTGAGGGGTACAATTTCGACGTCTATTTTCTGTACTTTCCAGGGAGCAGACATATTACACTTTCGAGAGGGTTTACAGCAGTCAAGTACGTCGTATTCCCTGAGGTCATGAGCTAATTCTCTCGTATAGCGTGTCTCCCTCAGTTTCCTGGAAGTGTGTACGTCACTCAAGCAGGTCTGAACGCTCTCAAACAGCTTATCCCCTCCTTTTCTCCGCATGAAACGAATAGATACTCTAGTGTTAATGTCACGGACTCTATCACACACACTCTGTAAATTTAATTCCATTCTCATTATTTCAATCATTGCATTTCTTTGACATCCAAGAATAATCCTCATAGCCTCGTTCTGTATCAGCTCTATTTTTTGAATTCTGCCTTGGCCTGTGTAAGACAATACGGGTGCTGCGTAGTCTATCAGGGATCGAACAGTGCTTATGTATAACATCCGCAAGATAGGTACCCCAACACCTTTACCAGAAAAAGCCAGTGCTTTTAGAGGATGCAGACGGGCTTTACATAAGGTGCTGATATGATTTATTTCAGCATTTTTACTCTCACATGTGTATCCAACATACATGCCCAGATACTTGTACTTCTGTACACGGCTCAGTTCCACACCATTTAGAGTAAGTGTTATATTTCTTCGTTTCCTATACTCGTATTTGGTTTTATCTGCATTTATAACTAAGCCTAACTTGTGACAGGTTGTACCAAGTATGTTAAGAGCATCTTGAATTTTGTTCCCAGAAGTGCCTTGTATAAGAATGTCATCAGCATATATGATCGTCGTGACCCCTGGAGGATACATCTCTGATGCTAATCTGTTCATTAATACATTGAATAAGGTGGGACTTAATACTCCCCCTTGTGGGGTACCTAACTGAAACCTCCGTTCCTCAGACATGTATCCCTGGTAATACACCTGACCTTTTCTGCCTTGCAGGTAATCCCTTATCCAGTGTAGCAATCTCCCTGTTATTCCCAGATTGGCTAATTCGTATAAGATTACTTCCCCATTGGCTTTATCAAACGCTCCTTGTAGATCAACAAAAACTCTACAATTGTCATCCACATTAGACAAACACTTTAAGAGACAATCCGCAGTACTTTTGCCTTTGATAAAACCAAAGAGATTATTGGACATGTTATCACCTACAAGGTAGAGTAGCCTATTTAACAAAATCCTTTCCATCATTTTACAAAAGCAGGATATTAAGGAGACAGGTCTGTAGCCTCCGTTTGACTTAGGGATAGGAATGATGACAGCCTCTTTCCATTTTCTTGGTAACTTTCCCTCTCTATAACTCATATTAAACAAATCAAGTAAGGGATTAGGTTTCATACCGGCTAAATAATTAAGTATGTCATACGTTACTCCATCTTTTCCCGGAGCAGTGGAGCTGCCACTTTTTATAGCATCCAGTAGCTCATCGTGGGTTATCTCAGTGCATGCTATAGATCTTGTATTTAAGGCACATAAAGTTACTCCATTTCTAATATTTTCCCATGACTCAATGGTGACTCTCGTGTCTGCAGGTAAGGACTCCATACCAGCAGCACTTGCCCATTTATCTACTAACTCATTAGCAACTTTCCCTGGATCTGAGTGAGCAATGAATTTAGTCTTACAACCCCTGACTTTATTTACTGCTCTCCATATGTCTTTAAGGTTCTTAGTATTACCAATGGCCTGAGCAAAGTCTTGCCAGTATCTGTCCCGCGCCTCCTTCCTCACCTGACTGCATTCCCTAGCCACTTCCAACATTGTATTTTTCTCTTCATCCCTCATTCCATTTTTTAACCATGCTTTATGCGCACCCCGTAGCATTCTCTCCCATCCCTTGACTTGCTGATCATTGGAATATTTAAATTTCTTAGGTCCGTGCGTCTTGCTTCCCCTGCCCCCGTTATTTTCCCTCTGTACTAATTTCTCTATGTTCTCGACCATGTCCTCGTAAAAACTATCAACGCAGAGCGGCGTGTAATGTTGATACCAATCTCCCATATTTTGAATAAAATAATTTTTCATATCTTTCTTAATATTTAGCCTTTTCCTTTGAAAGTGGACTTGTTTTTTCCCCAGTGGTAATTCAACGTTCAAGGCAAAGTGGTCACTAAGTAGTTCCCGAACAACCCGAGCCTCCCCCATAATCCCCTGAGAGTTTAAAATACAGGCATAGTCAAGCCGTCCTCCCCTGATGTGAGTTGGTTCATTGTTTCCCAATAGACAGGTATCTGGATGATCTTGTAGAAACTGTAACCACTTGACCCCATTAGCATTAATACTACCCACTGTCCCAAGGCTTGTGTGCCGAGCATTAAGGTCCCCAATGACCAGTGAAGGATTAGTATAAATGCAGTCAGGTAAATAGTTAGCGTCGAAGCAGTTCCTGGATACATACAAATTAACTACAATAAATTCCCCTTCCCTTAATGATAATTTAACACAGACACTCTCTATACCTTGCGTTTTTGATGGCGGTTCTACTAACTCTGCTGGTATGGAGTTCTTAACATAAATCGACGTGCCTCTGATGTTATTTGCAGCGAAGAGGTGAAACCCTTTATAGCCATTTAATTTCAATAAACCTTCATTCCTATCCCCTGTCTCTTGGAGAGCTACAACATCAATATCATTTCCCATCACATAACAATGAACATCTGTAACCCTGTTTCTCAAACCATTAACATTCCATGACAACACTTTCAGTCTAGGGTGATCCATTATTAATCAATTCATTGCCTAAGTCATCCCCAATAAGTTCACTAAATGATAGCCATACCTTGTATAACATCTCCCACCTCCTCCCAAGTTCACCAGTAAAAGCGACATTGCGATTCTCAAGAGATTTTTTCAGCCCTGAGACGTCCATTATTGGCCCAAATGATTCCTTCATTTTATGTGTAATTATAGGGTTCTTCCTTTCACTACGACTACCATCATTCACACACACTTCACTTTCCTTCATTTCATCACTCAATATTTCATTTTTGTCCTCAACCACTATATCCTGACTATCCTTCGCCGTTTTGTGATTTTCCTTGACCTCCTGAACGTTTAATTTAGCCTCGATGGACTCGATTCTCTGCCCCAGATTTTGGAGGAACTCACCAACTTTTTTAAGTTCAGCCCACACTTCCTTGACCATATTATTATGACCCTCTCTCTGAGCCACAGTAGCCACTACACTCACCGTTACACTGTCACTGCCGGAGTCCTGAGTGGTGGCGTGGCTGCTTGTTGCTGGAGCCTGCCTAAGTAAAGGTGACTCCTTTACCCACGCATTCGTCCGGTTCACTGGCACTGTTTGGGGCAGACTGTTTTGCTGTGCTCCCGGTGTCTGGGTAAGAGCTCTTGCTTGCTCTGTAACATTCACCGGCCGGAGAACAGCCATACTCGGCCTCTTGCTACACACAGCCGAGCTCGCATTGTGAACACCTCCACAGTTGCAGCATCTGGGAACTATTTTCTCACCCAGATTCAGTCTGTTTCTACACACAGTAGAGAGGTGAGACTTTCCGCAGAAACGACATCGTGGATCATTTTGACAGCTCCAGGATTTATGCCCCCATCTGCAGCATTTCAGGCATATTATGGGCTCTTCCACATACTTTGCTACATGCCTGTAGCCAGCCCCGGTTATGAACACTTTTTCGGGTACGTCACCTCTCACTAGAGCCACCACCTGACTCCTAGCTTCACCTTTAATAAGGTGACGCTTGGCCCACACAAATCGTTGGTCGTCGAGTATAAACTCGGGGTCCAGAATCTGAGGGTATTTATAGATAATTACCTTCGTCAGCTTCTCGTTCCCCTCCGGTATTTCCATAAGAATTCCATCATATCCTTCCTGGCTAAGGAACTTCACTGCCTCCATAGAACCTACCGTTAAGTAAGGTCTGTTTACACCTTCCTTCAGCAGGGGCTCGAACTTGCGGTGTTCTCTTCCGAGTTTGACGGTCCACAGCAGCTTCTGATGATAGGCCAACGTGCATGAGGCAGGGAAGAGAAGCCTCCATCTCCGCTGACCCTCACCTTCCTCACATCGTTCCGTCCGTTTGTCTGCATCAGTCTCGGCGTCGTTCTTCATTCTTTTATCGTTTCCGTTAAGTGTATTACTGTCCACACTACGCCTTGCCTCCTGTCTTCTTCGTTTCTTCTTATTCCTTGTCAGAACTTCTAGATACTCGCCCTCCTCGTCTGACTGGCTGCTTTCAGAGTCCATGTTAATAACGCCGTGAGAAGTAGCCATGTCTTCTGGTGACTGAGTCTCCATCTCAGTACCCAGCATGGGGGGAGGGGGGGGGAAGGTGCGGAGCAGGTATCTTGACCCGACCGCGTCCCAGGTAAGACTCCCTTTCCTGTGTGTGCGGGGAATAATTAGGCCTAAGAAGGTGGAAAGTGAGTAGCCAGAAGCTGTGCTCGCCCGAGGCGTAGTGGAGGTCCCTCTCTCTCTCTCCCTCCCCACCACGCCTCTACTCTCTCCTCTCCCACAGTGGAATGTCACCACCTCCATTTTACCTTCCCTGGAGGTAAAATTTACCTCCCTCGAACCAGCTTCCAGAGACTCTTTCAAGCTGCCCCTTGGAACAAGCTGCCCCTTGGAACAAGCTGCCCCTTGGAACAAGCTGCCCCTTGGAACAAGCTGCCCCTTGGGACAAGCTGCCCCTTGGTACAAGCTGCCCCTTGGAACAAGCTGCCCCTTGGAACAAGCTGCCCCTTGGGACAAGCTGCCCCTTGGTACAAGCTGCCCCTTGGAACAAGCTGCCCCTTGGAACAAGCTGCCCCTTGGAACAAGCTGCCCCTTGGAACAAGCTGCCCCTTGGAACAAGCTGCCCCTTGGGACAAGCTGTCCCTTGGTACAAGCTGCCCCTTGGAACAAGCTGCCCCTTGGGACAAGCTGCCCCTTGGGACAAGCTGCCCCTTGGTACAAGCTGCCCCTTGGAACAAGCTGCCCCTTGGAACAAGCTGCCCCTTGGAACAAGCTGCCCCTTGGAACAAGCTGCCCCTTGGAACAAGCTGCCCCTTGGGACAGAAGAGATCAATTAGACTTCTCATTTTATCCTGTCGTTTGTAATTACTTAATTAATCGTATTAATAATTAATATGGATTAATTATTACTTCTCGTTTGCCCAATTGTTCCAGTCTTGAAAATGGAAATATCGAAAATATTCGTCTGAAACCTTGAATTCCAGCTTTCTGGTAGAGGTTTGGTCATTAGGGTCAAATCGTGAGGAGTTTCGGACAAGGTTGGGCATGTCCGCCCGCCTGCCCCCCTAGTGTAGGGGGGGGGGCTGTGGTTAGCCCCCCCCCCTGTCATGTCCTGGGTCCCAGCCAGGCCTCCTAGCTCCATACTGCGTCCCAGCCCGGCCTCCTAGCTCCATACTGCGTCCCAGCCCGGCCTCCTAGCTCCATACTGCGTCCCAGCCCGGCCTCCTAGCTCCATACTGCGTCCCAGCCAGGCCTCCTAGCTCCATACTGCGTCCCAGCCCGGCCTCCTAGCTCCATACTGCGTCCCAGCCCGGCCTCCTAGCTCCATACTGCGTCCCAGCCCGGCCTCCTAGCTCCATACTGCGTCCCAGCCCGGCCTCCAAGCTCCATACTGCGTCCCAGCCCGGCCTCCTAGCTCCATACTGCGTCCCAGCCCGGCCTCCTAGCTCCATACTGCGTCCCAGCCCGGCCTCCTAGCTCCATACTGCGTCCCAGCCAGGCCTCCTAGCTCCATACTGCGTCCCAGCCCGGCCTCCTAGCTCCATACTGCGTCCCAGCCAGGCCTCCTAGCTCCATACTGCGTCCCAGCCCGGCCTCCTAGCTCCATACTGCGTCCCAGCCCGGCCTCCTAGCTCCATACTGCGTCCCAGCCCGGCCTCCTAGCTCCATACTGCGTCCCAGCCCGGCCTCCTAGCTCCATACTGCGTCCCAGCCCGGCCTCCTAGCTCCATACTGCGTCCCAGCCCGGCCTCCTAGCTCCATACTGCGTCCCAGCCCGGCCTCCTAGCTCCATACTGCGTCCCAGCCCGGCCTCCTAGCTCCATACTGCGTCTCAGCCCGGCCTCCTAGCTCCATACTGCGTCCCAGCCCGGCCTCCTAGCTCCATACTGCGTCCCAGCTAGGCCTCCTAGCTCCATACTGCGTCCCAGCCCGGCCTCCTAGCTCCATACTGCGTCCCAGCCCGGCCTCCTAGCTCCACTGCGTCTCAGCCCGACCTATTAGCTCCATACTGCGTCCCAGCCAGGCCTCCTAGCTCCATACTGCGTCCCAGCCCGGCCTCCTAGCTCCATACTGCGTCCCTGCCCGGCCTCCTAGCTCCATACTGCGTCCCAGCCCGGCCTCCTAGCTCCATACTGCGTCCCAGCCCGGCCTCCTAGCTCCATACTGCGTCCCAGCCCGGCCTCCTAGCTCCATACTGCGTCCCAGCCCGGCCTCCTAGCTCCATACTGCGCAGCCCGGCCTCCTAGCTCCATACTGCGTCCTAGCCCGGCCTCCTAGCTCCATACTGCGTCCCAGCCCGGCCTCCTAGCTCCATACTGCGTCCCAGCCCGGCCTCCTAGCTCCATACTGCGTCCCAGCCCGGCCTCCTAGCTCCATACTGCGTCCCAGCCCGGCCTCCTAGCTCCATACTGCGTCCCAGCCCGGCCTCCTAGCTCCATACTGCGTCCTAGCCCGGCCTCCTAGCTCCATACTGCGTGCGTCCCATAGCCCAGGCCTCCTAGCTCCATACTGCGTCCCAGCCCGGCCTCCTAGCTCCATACTGCGTCCCAGCCCGGCCTCCTAGCTCCATACTGCGTCCCAGCCCGGCCTCCTAGCTCCATACTGCGTCCCAGCCCGGCCTCCTAGCTCCATACTGCGTCCCAGCCCGGCCTCCTAGCTCCATACTGCGTCCCAGCCCGGCCTCCTAGCTCCATACTGCGTCCCAGCCCGGCCTCCTAGCAACATCAAGATGGAATGCTGACAATGAACACAAGAGCAGGGGCGGAAGCCAGAGACTCAGGTGAGTCAAAGAGATGTTAGAAAGTATTCATTTAGCGACAGAATAATAGGACATTGTTATGACCTAAAGGAGCAGGTTGTAGAGGTTAAAGTAGACATGACTGGGAAATTGGTCAGGGGGACATTCATTAGACAACCGACAGCTAGAAATGCTGGGCCCAAGAGCTCGAGTTTGATCCTGCAGGCCCAAAATTGGCCACAGTCGTGGTTCACAGTACCACAGTGGTCCACAGCGGTCCACAGTGATCCACAGTGATCCACAGTGGTCCACAGTGATCCACAGTGGTCCACAGTGATCCACAGTGGTCCACAGTGATCCACAGTGGTCCACATCGTGAGTGACAATCTGTGTCAAGTCATAAAACACATGACAGAGTTCGATCCCAACTTCCGTTCATTGTAAGTCCCCGCCTCATTTATTTTTCCCCACACCCCCAACACCTGACACCTGACCCCAGACCCCACAACACCTGTCCTCAGACCCCAGTACCTGACCCCAGACCCCACAACACCTGTCCTCAGACCCCAGCACCTGACCCCAGACCCCAGCACCTGACCCCAGACCCATTTTTTAGGATTGCTTTGGACAACTGAAAAAGTGGTGCCAAGGGTGCCAAGCCCTCTCAGCTCTCGTCCTGCCGGGGGGGAAGGTCCCAGCAGGCACTCCCAGCATATACACTGCTGGGGAAGGTCCCAGCAGGCACTCCCAGCCCATACACTGCTGGGAGAGGTCCCAGCAGGCACTCCCAGCCCCATATACTGCTGGGGGAGGTCCTAGCAGGCACTCCCAGCCCCATACACTGCTGGGGAGGTCCTAGCAGGCACTCCCAGCCCACACATTGCTGGGGTAGGTCCCAGCAGGCACTCCCAGCCCCATACACTGCTGGGGGAGGTCCTAGCAGGCACTCCCAGCCCACACATTGCTGGGGGAGGTCCCAGCAGGCACTCCCAGCCCCATACACTGCTGGGGAAGGTCCTAGCAGGCACTCCCAGCCCACACATTGCTGGGGGAGGTCCCAGCAGGCCCTCCCAGCCCATACACTGCTGGGGGAGGTCCCAGCAGGCACTCCCAGCCCCATACACTGCTGGGGGAGGTCCTAGCAGGCACTCCCAGCCCATACACTGCTGGGGGAGGTCCCAGCAGGCATTCCCAGCCCCATACACTGCTGGGAGAGGTCCTAGCAGGCACTCCCAGCCCACACATTGCTGGGGGAGGTCCCAGCAGGCACTCCCACCCATACACTGCTGGGGGAGGTCCCAGCAGGCACTCCCAGCCCATACACTGCTGGGGGAGGTCCCAGCAGGCACTCCCAGCCCATACACTGCTGGGGGAGGTCCTAGCAGGCACTCCCAGCCCCATACACTGCTGGGGGAGGTCCTAGCAGGCACTCCCAGCCCATACACTGCTGGGGGAGGTCCTAGCAGGCACTCCCAGCCCACACACTGCTGGGAAAGGGGGCAGCTGAAGTGGAAAAGGATCCCGGAGTTATCCCAGGAAGGAGGTCTCGAGGGGTGAGAGGGAGAGAAGTGAGGGGTGAGGGAGAGGGGTGAGGGGGAGAGAGAGAGGTCCACCTCAGGCCTCGTCCGGATTGCGTGCGTGAGCAGGCGCGCGCTTGCCTGCTCTCCACGGGGCGTTGGGTTCACACCTCATACGTTTCTGCTTGTCCTCCTCATCTCTTCCATCCCTATTCCCTCTCCTCTTCCACCTCCCTCTACCCATTACCCCCCCTTCCTCTATCCCACACCACTCCCCCCCACCCCCACAACCTCCCCACAACCTCCCCACAACCATCAGAGGGTGACGTGCGCGGCCAGAGATGCGCGGAGGTAACTTCTAGAGCGCCATCTCTCCTGTTGAGACAAAACACATCAACACGCCCCTTTGGCGGGAGAGTTTGAAGGCTCAGGCTACACCAGGGGTGTGTAGAGCAACAGGGAGCTACACCAGGGGTGTGTAGAGCAACAGAGGCTACACCAGGGGTGTGTAGAGCAACAGGGAGCTACACCAGGGGTGTGTAGAGCAACAGAGGCTACACCAGGGGTGTGTAGAGCAACAGGGAGCTACACCAGGGGTGTGTAGAGCAATAGGGGGCTACATCAGGGGTGTGTAGAGCAATAGGGGGCTACACCAGGGGTGTGTAGAGCAATAGGGGCTACACCAGGGGTGTGTAGAGCAACAGGGAGCTACACCAGGGGTGTGTAGAGCAAAAGAGAGCTACACCAGGGGTGTGTAGAGCAACAGAGGCTACACCAGGGGGTGTGTAGAGCAACAGAGGCTACACCAGGGATGTGTAGAGCAACAGGGGCTGCACCAGGGATGTGTAGAGCAACAGTGGCTACACCAGGGATGTGTAGAGCAACAGGGGCTGCACCAGGGATGTGTAGAGCAACAGGGGCTGCACCAGGGATGTGTAGAGCAACAGGGAGCTACAACAGGGGTGCAGCCCATATTTGTTCGTTGATGCATCACGCTATTGTGATTTTTGTGTGTAACGACTAGAAGGGGTCAGGATAAGGATTTGGGATGGGACTGGAGGGAAGGAATGGTCCCCAACCACTTGTGGACGGTCGGGGGATTGAACGCCGACCTGCATGAAGCGAGACCGTCGCTCTACCCTTTGAGAGGAGGGAGTGAATTATCAGGAGTAAGCGCCAGGCCATTACGACTGTACAGCACATAGTCAATTGCCTTTGCTTGCTTAGCAGTACAAAGGTGCCGAAGATCTATCTAGCTGGTTGTGGGGATTCCCTGGGGGGGGGGGAGGGGTAAGTAATTCGACCTGGGGAGGGGGGTGGGGGGTCGCCTCGATACTGAGCTGTGATTGGCGGCCCTGAGCGCCCTAACAACAGCGCCTGAACTGCTTGGTTTCAGTCTGAATTGTACATAAAGGATGTCATATAGATTCTTCAGGAGTCTTGCCGGCGTTCTGACACCCGCGGCCAGCTGTTCAAGGGGTAATGGGTTCCCTTGTTTACATTCACATGGAATGAGGACCCGCCATGGCGTGTGTAAGTAAATTAGCCAGGAACACCGCCGGCTGCCTTGTCCCCTCCTCCCCCGTCCTGTGGAAAGCTCGGCGCTAGCCTGGGAACAGCGGCTCATAAAGCCGCGGGTCCGACGGTGCGAACACGTCTGCTCCGTCGGTGCTACGTTCATATGTTCTTGAGCACATTCCGGTGTTGGGGACATGTTGGTGGCAGCGTCCTTGTCTCCCACGGACGTGACACCATCGTCCTTGTCACCCAGAGACGTGACACCATCGTCCTTGTCACTTAGCGACGTGTCACCAGCGTCCTTGTCACCCAGAGACGTGACACCATCGTCCTTGTCACCCAGAGACGTGACACCATCGTCCTTGTCACTTAGCGACGTGTCACCAGCGTCCTTGTCACCCAGAGACGTGACACCATCGTCCTTGTCACCCAGAGACGTGACACCATCGCCCTTGTCACCCAGGGACGTGTCACCAGCGTCCTTGTCACTTACAGACGTGTCACCATCGTCCTTGTCACCCAGAGACGTGTCACCATCGTCCTTGTCACTTAGCGACGTGTCACCAGCGTCCTTGTCACCCAGAGACGTGTCACCATCGTCCTTGTCACTTAGCGACGTGTCACCATCGTCCTTGTCACTTAGCGACGTGTCACCATCGTTCCTGTCACTTACAGACGTGTCACCATCGTCCTTGTCACTTACAGACGTGTCACCATCGTCCTTGTCACTTAGCGACGTGTCACCATCGTCCTTGTCACTTACAGACGTGTCACCATCGTCCTTGTCACTTAGCGACGTGTCACCATCGTTCCTGTCACTTAGCGACGTGTCACCATCGTCCTTGTCACCCAGAGACGTGTCACCATCGTCCTTGTCACTTAGAGACGTGACACCATCGTCCTTGTCACTTAGCGACGTGTCACCATCGTTCCTGTCACTTAGCGACGTGTCACCATCGTCCTTGTCACCCAGAGACGTGACACCATCGTCCTTGTCACCTAGACACACAAAAAATAAAATTACGCCATCAAGTAGAGCAAGAAAACACTTGTGAAAGGACCGGAATGTGTACATATGAATGCTACACAGGATTCTTCTATAATGCCACTCATCCTGTGAGTGCCATAGTGACAGTATTGGGCAGCGCCACTCATCCTGTGAGTGGACACACCGCCATAGTGACAGTATTGGGCAGCGCCACTCATCCTGTGAGTGGACACACCGCCATAGTGACAGTATTGGGCAGCGCCACTCATCCTGTGAGTGGACACACCGCCATAGTGACAGTATTGGGCAGCGCCACTCATCCTTTGAGTGGACACACCGCCATAGTGACAGTATTGGGCAGCGCCACTCATCCTGTGAGTGGATACACCGCCATAGTGACAGTATTGGGCAGCGTCACTCATCCTGTGAGTGGACACACCGCCATAGTGACAGTATTGGGCAGCGCCACTCATCCTGTGAGTGGACACGCCGCCATAGTGACAGTATTGGGCAGCGTCACTCATCCTGTGAGTGGACACTCCGCCATAGTGACAGTATTGGGCAGCGCCACTCATCCTGTGAGTGGACACACCGCCATAGTGACAGTATTGGGCAGCGCCACTCATCCTGTGAGTGGACACACCGCCATAGTGACAGTATTGGGCAGCGCCACTCATCCTTTGAGTGGACACACCGCCATAGTGACAGTATTGGGCAGCGCCACTCATCCTGTGAGTGGATACACCGCCATAGTGACAGTATTGGGCAGCGTCACTCATCCTGTGAGTGGACACACCGCCATAGTGACAGTATTGGGCAGCGCCACTCATCCTGTGAGTGGACACACCGCCATAGTGACAGTATTGGGCAGCGTCACTCATCCTGTGAGTGGACACTCCGCCATAGTGACAGTATTGGGCAGCGCCACTCATCCTGTGAGTGGACACACCGCCATAGTGACAGTATTGGGCAGCGCCACTCATCCTGTGAGTGGACACACCGCCATAGTGACAGTATTGGGCAGCGTCACTCATCCTGTGAGTGGACACACCGCCATAGTGACAGTATTGGGCAGCGCCACTCATCCTGTGAGTGGACACACCGCCATAGTGACAGTATTGGGCAGCGTCACTCATCCTGTGAGTGGACACTCCGCCATAGTGACAGTATTGGGCAGCGTCACTCATCCTGTGAGTGGACACTCCGCCATAGTGACAGTATTGGGCAGCGCCACTCATCCTGTGAGTGGACACAACGCCATAGTGACAGTATTGGGCAGCGCCACTCATCCTGTGAGTGGACACACCGCCATAGTGACAGTATTGGGCAGCGCCACTCATCCTGTGAGTGGACACACCGCCATAGTGACAGTATTGGGCAGCGCCACTCATCCTGTGAGTGGACACACCGCCATAGTGACAGTATTGGGCAGCGCCACTCATCCTGTGAGTGGACACACCGCCATAGTGACAGTATTGGGCAGCGTCACTCATCCTGTGAGTGGACACACCGCCATAGTGACAGTATTGGGCAGCGCCACTCATCCTGTGAGTGGACACACCGCCATAGTGACAGTATTGGGAAGCGCCACTCATCCTGTGAGTGGACACACCGCCATAGTGACAGTATTGGGCAGCGTCACTCATCCTGTGAGTGAACACACCGCCATAGTGACAGTATTGGGCAGCGTCACTCATCCTGTGAGTGGACACACCGCCATAGTGACAGTATTGGGCAGCGCCACTCATCCTGTGAGTGAACACACACCGCCATAGTGACAGTATTGGGCAGCGTCACTCATCCTGTGAGTGGACACTCCGCCATAGTGACAGTATTGGGCAGCGCCACTCATCCTGTGAGTGGACACAACGCCATAGTGACAGTATTGGGCAGCGCCACTCATCCTGTGAGTGGACACACCGCCATAGTGACAGTATTGGGCAGCGCCACTCATCCTGTGAGTGGACACACCGCCATAGTGACAGTATTGGGCAGCGCCACTCATCTTGTGAGTGGACACACCGTCATAGCAGCATGTACAACACTCCCCAATAGGAAGAAAACCCGCTGGGTTGTTCATCCTGTCACTTGTACCCAGACACAGCTGGGACTTGCTTAACTGTCTCAAGTGAACAGTTCCTCAAACAAGAAGATTTAGACATCTATTTATGCTGAAATACATGAACCTCTCACACACTCGCCGCTCTCTGACAAGAGAGAGCAAACTTAGCTGCCAACACCCACACATCGTGTCAGCAAGGCGGACAGTCCGCCTGCTGTCAGAACTCCCACTAAATTCCAAATTTATAAGTATTTTCCTTCACCTGAACTCTCCATGTTCCTTACTCACCCTCCCAAAAAAGTACCCAATTACACACTGTACATTCCTCCCCCCCCCCCCTTTGTCTCTTCCCCCTCTTCTCCCCTCTCCTGTCCTTTCCATTCCTTGACCTTACCCCTTCCTCTCAGCTTCCCTCCCTCTCTTCCAACCTTCCAAGCACCGTCGTCTGACGCCCTGCTTTCCGTTATTCTCTATTTCCCCCTCCCTCCTTCCCTCCCTCCCTCCTGTGCCCCCTCCTGCCCCCTCTCCCTTCCCTCCCTCCCTCCTGTGCCCCCTCCTGCCCCCTCTCCCTTCCCCCCTCCCTCCTCTTCACCCTCCCGCCCCCTCTCCCTGCGGCGTCACGGCCCACTGAAGCAAGGCAACACAGGCTCCTACACTGTGGAACACACACAGTGTGGGTGTCCACACCACTCTCCCTCCCGTCATGTCTACACCTGGTCCACTCTCCCTCTCTCCCTCTCTCTCCCTTCCTCTCTCTCTCTTCCTCTTCAGCCGTCTTCTTCCTTCTCCTCTCTATGCAAATCTTTCTCGTTCACTCGTCTATTTCTCTCACCCGTCCCTAACGACCTTCCCGCAGCTGCCAACTACCTCCAACAGCCTCTTTCCCCCCCCCCAGTCGTTATCCACCTACCAGCCTCACCCCCCCCTCATTAGCCACCACCATCAACAATCTCCCCCCCCCCCCACCACCACAATCACAAGCAGCCTACTCCTCCAGACTCTGCACCACAACCACACTTTCCACCACCAACTTCCAACCATCAACCACTCATTCACACCAACCTCACCTTAAACTGCTTACTACCCCCACCCCCCCGCACCCCCCCCCCCCCGGCCAGCCTTCCTCATCCCCCCCCCCTCTCGGAATATTGTGAGACCAACTCTCACCCCATCTAAACCACTAAGGCCTCTACAAAACACTATTCCAGAATGACACAAGATAAAACAAATTTTAATCAAAGTCACGAGAGACCCAACGACATGTTCAGCACTGTTCAGAGACGTATTTGTTCTCAACACTACATCGCTCGGTGTGAACACGCCGCCCAACTCTTTGAACGAGAAATGTTTGATTATAAATGTTTCTAACGTCATCACATTGAACATTTTTAATGCAATATACCTGTCATGGAGATCCTACCTTGTCTCCCCCCGGCCACACATGTGTCACACACACCTGTCACCACGAAAGCTAATGAGCATTTTGCTCTTCTCATAACAGTTAAACTGGAAATAATTGCCTCCTGCACAAACTTAAAGTCTAACCCGCACTATTTTGCCCAGACGGATCAGTTCAGCTGCCAACAGGACATTCTGAAGCACCCTCTAGGCTTCATATAAATATTAATTGCACACCGACTATCAGCGTCAGACACACCTGTCACCACATGTGAGGTGTGAACAGGTGACACACCTCTCACCTGTTCACACAATCGACTTGAGAATGGTCCAGGATGGACCGAAACGTCGTCGTCCCTTCACTTTCTAGTGTGTGGTCTGGTCAACATTCTTCAGCCACGTTATTGTGACTCATCGCCTGCTTATAGGAATAAGTTTTTTAAATGAGGCATCGACATGGAGTTTACACAGGACAATAGACTATGAAAAGTGAGGCCTAAGATCTTATGGACCGGAACAAAGGTGAGTTATACACCTGCATAAGAGAGCGTTGGAATCTGAGTGATCAATTTACTTATAAAGTATTGAGCGTGGCATTTTATGGCATTGATAGTAATGCTCACAAGCTGCCCAGACATAAAGGGCATCAAGAGCTCTTTGCATGCGTTGCTAAGCCACCTCAAATGTAACTGTGAAGGCGAATAGCCAGATGTAATCTGTGAAGTGCGAGTACAACACCTCAGGGCTGATAGGTATGTCACCCAGGAAGATCAGAAACAATAAGGGGCTGACCATCGCCCACTCCGCGACGCCAGAAGAAATGGCACGAGCAGCGGAGAGGCGCACCACTAGGTTGACTGAAGACCCTGTCCGAGAACAAGGCCTAGCAGCCTTTGCCAGTATAGCTGTGTGCGAGACGCTGCCTGAAGCATTCGATACGTCTAAATATACAGCCAACACAACCCGTTTCTCCTTCAGCTAACTGATGTGTTCTAAAAACATCAGTTGATCAGGCATAGACCAGTGCCGTCTACAGCCTGCTTGATACAGTGCCTGCTGTTTACTTCAATGTACCGGTATGAATGGTGGATCATCATTTTTTCGAATACTTTACCAATAGTAGACAGTAGCGATATTGGTCTGTAAGAGGATGGACTCGAGAGATCCTTACCCCCCCTTTCGACATTGGTTGAGTTTTGCATTTCCTTCCGTATCTTTCATTGCAGTATGTTGTATTCTACTGTGTAAATTTTGGACCTGGTCTTCTGGTATCTTTCATTTATATTTTATTTGATACAGTTCCAATGAGTACTTTTTCAGAGCATTGAGACAGCCCCAGTAATTTAGGTACTTTATTGTGTCTATGCATGCCGTATATGTTCTCTGTATTCCCTCTGTTTTTATTAATCCCTCTTGCTCTGAAAGGGGAAGTAAGCACTGAGCAGTACTCAAGACGGGACAGTACCGAGCAGTACTCAAGACGGGACAGTACCGAGCAGTACTCAAGACGGGACAGTACCCAGCAGTACTCAAGACGGGACAGCTCCGAGC